AACTCAGACTAGGCAATTTTGGCTAAACTAAAGTTGCTATTTATCAAAATATCAATGAAACTAGTTGAAAATATAATTTGTTGAGGTTAAATGAATTAAGATTCACCTTCATCCCTTTTAGAAAAAAGATTGTTCTGTAGCGAAATTTTTAATTTGTGAAGTATTTGAAAATAAGTACACAGTCACATTTGTTAATGCTATAAATAAATTACTAATGCTTTCATTAAATACTTCAGTTGAAAGGTATAAAAAAAATTTTCCCCTTTAAATTATAGTTTTTCAGCATGAAACAATATTATCATTCAAATAAAAATATAAGTGATTTTATTTTATTGACGGAGTTTCTTAAGGAGGAAAAAAAAGGAATTTCGCTTTTGTCTGACTTTCACTAAATATTTCAGTTGAAAGATATAAAATTTATTTTTCCCTTTAAAGTGTAGTTTTTTAGCATGAAGCAATATTATCATTCAAATAAAAATATAAGTGATTTTATTTTATTGACGGAGTTTCTTAAGGCGGAAAAAAAAGGAATTTCGCTTTTGTCTGACTTTCATTAAATATTTCAGTTGAAAGATATAAAAATTATTTTTCCCTTTAAAGTGTAGTTTTTTAGCATGAAGCAATATTATCATTCAAATAAAAATATAAGTACATAATTTTATTTTATTGACGGAGTTTCTTAAGGAGGAAAAAAAAGGAATTTCGCTTTTGTCTGACTTTCACTAAATATTTCAGTTGAAAGATATAAAAATTATTTTTCCCTTTAAAGTGCAGTTTTTTAGCATGAAGCAATATTATCATTCAAATAAAAATATGAGTGATTTTATTTTATTGACGGAGTTTCTTAAGGAGGAAAAAAAAGGAATTTCGCTTTTGTCTGACTTTCACTAAATATTTCAGTTGAAAGATATAAAAATTATTTTTCCCTTTAAAGTGTAGTTTTTTAGCATGAAGCAATATTATCATTCAAATAAAGATATAAGTGATTTTATTTTATTGACGGAGTTTCTTAAGGGGAAAAAAAGGAATTTCGCTTTTGTCTGACTTTCATTAAATATTTCAGTTGAAAGATATAAAAATTATTTTTCCCTTTAAAATGTAGTTTTTTAGCATGAAACAATATTATCATTCAAATAAAAGTGTAAGCGATTTTATTTTATTGACGGAGTTTCTTAAGGAGGGGAAAAAAAGGAATTTTGCTTTTGTCTGACTTCTCGCCTCCTCGTTTATCTTAAAACCTATGAAAAGTATAGCTTATCGGAAAAGTAGTGAATAAATTTTGACTACTATTTAACAAAAGTTTTATATTCAACTGGTTTAATATCACTAACATTTATATTATTTCCAGATAATTCAAAGAGGATGAAATGCAAAAATTGGTTTAAAACAATAAATTTTCCTTTTTTGAAACAAATAAGTTGTGAGTAGAACAGTAAAACCTCCAGAAACCAGAGTTTAAATGCCATTTCTACTTTCTCATAAAATATATATGGCTATTTTTTAAAAATTACTTAATTCTACTTTTTTAGTTATGTTTAAATACTTCATTAGAAATTATATATTTTAGGTTTTACTTTGTACGACATTTTATAATGTATTTCTTCGTAATTCGGTTATGAAACAGAATACACAAGACTCAAATTATATATTTATATGCTATAAAACTGTCCGAAAGATTATTTAAATCGAATTTTTTATTTTCCTTATAATTTTTCACTACAATGATAAAAAAAGTATGATCCCAACTATCAAAATATGGTAAAATTTTCCGTGTTCCTGACTCTAAGGGAGCACCAAAAACCACGGTAATTTTTACCGCAGTGCTTTGCGAAGGACTTTTTGGCAAAATTACCAATAAAATATGGTTTATATAAAAACGTTGGTTGGTAGTAATTGTCGTAAAATTTGTGATTTTTATCAAAAGTGGGAAATTTTAAAAGAACTAGTAAAGTATGAGATGAAGCAAAAATGTTCAGTTTGATAACCTCTATTTTAGTAAGCACGTGTAAACTTTGTTTCTCGTCAGTTAGTTGTATTTTTTTCCTATGTAAGCTCTAAGTTAACATCTAGCAACTGGAAATGCTATGAAAAATGTGCATTTATAAATGCACAAATGCCGGGACAAGGCGAAAATGAATCAGTAGCTCTAATACTGCTGATCAGGGCTGCCCCAACATTCAAAAAATGAAAGCTCAAAGCTAGCGGGTTTGTATCCCACCACAATATTTGAAGTATTCAATTATTTTTATTTATTGTTGCACATACATATGCAGACATGTACGGTCATTCAACGGGGGGGGGGGAAATTTTATCAGCCGGAGAAGGAACAGAGGGTACGCGGTAAACTATTCGACTGTAAAGTGCTCAAATAAGTTCAACTCAGCACAAATTTTAACCCTGGATGCATCTATTTATTTATTTAATGCTACGCTCATATACGCAGGTTAGTGTGATCATTACAAAGCTCTGGTCAAGTCGAAATACAGATAGCACGAGATAGAGAAAGACATTGAATCATGTAACCTGAGGGATTCGAACCAGCTACTTCCGTGTTACAATAAATACATCTTCTTCTGTTCTTCACCTTGACTAGGGCTTATAATTAATCATTCCTTTCAATGAGCACACAAGCCTGCATATGTTTGAGTAACAATAAATAAATACTTGGAATAGTGAGGTTTTTTTAATTATTTTTTTACAACAGTCTCGTCTTTCCGCCAAACGCTGTTTAAAATTGAGGTAACGGATTTGAATCAAAGTATAACCTTTGATGTTTCACTGTAGATGAATAAATTTAGTTCAGATAGATATACAGGCTCGTGTGTTTATTAACGTGTCTCTTGCCGAATTGCCTTAAAATGGCTTGTCTCTTGCCAAATTGCAGAACGGATACCACAAAAATAAGAAAAATAGCACAAAGATATTAAACCTACTACCGCTACACTTAAAGGAAACACAATGGCGTTAACACAATGAAATACCCATCAATATATGTTTTTGTTCACACCTTTTGTTTACGTGTAGTATTGCAGTTCCGCTAACCGCTCTGAAGCGTGAATATAGAAGATTCGTATCCCAATGTATAACACTGGATGTATATTCTTTTCAAACTGAAAATAGTTTTTAAGCCTTTCTTTGCATTGCAAAGAAACTCACATGTGTTTGTAAATAAATAAATCCTACTACCCCTATAAAAGATAGGTAAAACAGTCATCATAGTTTGATACATCTGAATATTTAAAACGTTTAAAGCTATCTTTTGTGGCTCTTTTCCTCTTGTCATAATTGAGAAACTATATTAGAATAAACGATAATTATCAGTCATCTAACTCCTATCAACCATTTAAATAAACCGCAATTTTAAATTAACCACATGAGTGTAAGCAGATAATTTCCTTTCTTTTTTTAAAAAAAATGTTTTTACGTCAAAAAGTTAAAATTTCTACATAAATCGCAAAATGAGTAACGGCTCTGAAGAAAATGTTGATAATTTTTTCCTGATACTCAAGAGCATAGCATAAAAACAATTTATTTGGTTAAAATTACTTTTCAGTTTTGTATTTGGAATAAGATCGATAATTTTGAAAACTAGAATTTCCGATAAACCACTGCCATAGCGAACGGTAAAATTACCAAATGGATGGTTGAAATATTGCATATCTTGGTTTAATTGCCCGAATTATGGTTTTTTTTACCAGAAATGTCTTTAACATTCAAATATGATAATTTTGTCAGTTTTCTTTTCTCCGTGCATAATTAAAAACTCCGTCCAAAGGGTGATTGCAATTATATTTCGTATTATAAAATTCAATTATATCCATTGATTTGTAAAGGTATTCAAACAGAAGGAAAATCTTAAAATACTTTTAGAGATAAAATTGTTCTTAATGTTGTCCAATGTATGCATTTGGTCTTAGGATATATTATGTTAAAAGTATCACAAAAATAATGATTTTGAAATTTGTTTTCTTCATGAATCGTGGGTTCGGTGACTGTGCACGAAATGTATATAAAAAAATACTTTTGATCAATTGAATCAGAATGTCCAATGCAAATTTTAATTAATTTATGGAAACGATATTTTATGTTACCGAAATCATATCGAAAAATATATTTTCTCTGAATAAACCTAAATTCCAATGAATTTCGATTCCTGATCATCAAAATATAGGATGAATATGGGATACATTATTCGAAAAAAAAATATTTTTACTTGTATTTAAGAAATTTACTTATATAAAGATTATCAAATGAAAAATACAATTTTATAAGATTACTTAATATATTCTATAATCAACCATATTTAAATTTTGTCAATTATTTTTTGAACTGTTATCCTCATTTCAATCTATGTAATATTAAACGAAAAAGTACAAAATTTGAGAAAAATAAGCAGAACACTTTCATTTTTTTAAAAAAAATACTTATAAAAGCATCATACTTTTAAACTTTAATTTTTAGAGAACTATTTGGCCGATTCAGTTTAAATATCGAATTTTGTCATTTAAAAGTAAATAAAAATTATGCAATTAAAATTATGAGAAAATTTGTGTATCTTACTGTTCAAAATATTTTCACTTATTATTTAATTAAATAAAATATTATAAAAATTATTTTTTAAATGAAATTATTTTAGAATAAATGAGTTTTATGCTTAGAAGAAAATTGTACGATTCTCTAAATTACTTCTTGAGATACACAGAAAATAAAATAAATATTTAAACAGTCCCCGCTTTTCCCCACTACACTCTTTAGATTTTGAAGTTAGTTCCCCTCTATTGATTGAATGAAAAGAATGTATCGAATAATTCTTTTCAAATGCATTTACAAACCGTTAATTAAAATTTGGATCATAGGGTGTTCTTCGCATAAATACGAAAAGACACAGATATTGTTAAGAAACTTAAGGTTTTAAAATGCAGAAAAAAAGTATCTTATTGTTCCATTTTCAAACCGAAATTTTTTGTTAGATAATTTTGTAAAAAATAAAATGTAGTTACCTTCTTGGTCACTTAGTTTGTCGACTGACATTTTGTGTTTAGATTTGTGTTCACTACTAGTAGTAGCGTTACTATCTCGTCTGCTTGTCATCCAATTTTTTAGAATTTCCACATTATTGAAAAGGATTGTCTCTTGGGCTTAAATTATTGCACTTGTTATGGAAGTTTCGATTGTCGATGAGCAATAAATTGAGCAGAAGAAGGCCATCTAAAAAATAATTCACATTTTTAGATTAAAAGATGTGCGGCAAAAACAGTTTTCAACATAACTTAAAAATAAATAAGTTGACAAAATTTAGTAATTAATAATCAGAGTAGACTTTTACTTATAAATAAATTTAATTGGTTTCAAAGTGACTTCCACTTGCAGCGATATTGAGGTAAAAATGCTTATTGAAATTTTCTGCAATAGGCCAAGAACCGCCGAAGCGATTGCTTTAAAGAATCCAAACTTATGTTTAAAGAAGCAAATGAACAATTTCACACTGTTTTTTTCTTTGCTTAAAAATTTCTAAAATAGCAGATCTTTTGCTTGACATTGTAACAAAAGACAAAAATAAAAGTAAACTAAGAGACATATTATGAATAGTATAAAATATCTTATAATCAGAGACAAAAAGGCAAAAAGAAGTGAACACGCAAATTAAAACAAAAATAATTAACTTTTTTTCCAACATGCTGTAAAGCTGCTTGTTTAAGCTTTATACCTCGTCCTGCATTTGTATTGTTTTTCTTTCTAATTTAGTTTATTGAAAGCTATTGTTTTATCACTATTATAAATATGAAATCATTGTGAGTTTTAATGCAAGTCATAATAGTGGCTACCTTCAGAAATATTTTTTATTATTTATTTTTACGGAATAGTTTAACCGTTCTCTGCTCTTCTTTCTAAATATAGTATTTATTATTATTTTCCTTGGTATTTTATTTTGATTTAATAAATTTGATAACAAAGGAGTTTTGTTTCTATGGATAATAAAAAAAATATCTGTCTGTAAGAGAGCAAACGGTTGTAACTCAAGCTGATTACCACAAAATAAAATTTAGCAAATGAAGGAGGCCGAAGAAGAAAGTCAGGACAAAATTATTTTACGAAGAATCAAGACAATTTTTAGTGCATGTACTCTCAATATACAAAAAAATAAGAAGCGAAAAAATTTATATTTTACTTAAACAATTGGACTGCTAGTGCTAATAAACGATCCATATAATGATAATCTAATTAAATATTATCATTAAGAAAAAATATTAATCAGATATTAAAAATCAAAAGTGCGAACCATAAATGGGAAACAGGACTGGACAATATTCAGAGATCGTTTATTAGAGTTTGTTAATAAATACTTAATCTTTCTGATTGCTATTTAAAAGTGATGTTCCAAAAGATACATTCATTAATATGCATTCAAAAAAGATGTTTGAGAGAGTCCCATTTGGACATGTATTTCATTGAACAACATGTCCGGAAGGGCATGCATAAATTTTGAAATATTTCAAGACCTAAGAAACATTATTCAATCAATAACATGAAAGCATTGAAAGAAAACAACATCCACTTAACTGAGAATAGATGAATTAATCCCGCGCGCTTACCTGTAAAGATTTTTAGCAATATTTTTTTTTCGCAAAGCTTTGACTATGATTTTATTGTGCAATTATATTAACTACGACGAAGCATATTAGTTGAGTTTTTTAAAAATAAAGTCACTTTACTGTTAGTTTAACAATTGTTGATTTTCAGGTTGAATAACAATTTTGTTGCAATAAAAATAAGCTTAGGAAAGGCTGGTTTTTATATTTATCGATGGTCATCTAATTGTAAACAGTAGCTTTTTTTATTCTTTATCTTAATCTTGTGCAAAATAAACATCTTCATCGCCTTTTCAAGATAAAAATCTTAATAGGTCGAAACTTAAATCTGTTACTTATAGACGAAATTTTAAGTTATTCGAAATAAAAATGCTTTATTATAAATGGACTTCAATTTCTGACCCTTAAAATATGAGCCTCAATCTGGGCAATAAAATTTCAATAGTTTGGGCAAAAGAGAGTTCAAAATTTGGTCCACTTAATCTTAGTTTTATTTTTTGCGTCTTTAGCCCCAATTCTAGAACAATCTAGGAATCAAATATTTTTTGATAAAACTATTTTAACAGAATTTAATCCACGTGAAAAGTATTTATTTATGATTATTTATAATTTTTATGAATTAATTTAATAATAGTGGAATTGCACCTCAAATTTTCCTATCTTTTCAAACTTAATACTTAGAAATTATAAGTTTACAAATTTAAATAAGATCGATATATATTTTCTGAGGAGAGAAAATTTTAATTTCGCAAGAGCAAATTTATTACGTTAAATTTGATTTCATTATTAAAAAATATTTTAGTTTAAATGTTAAAAAATAATTGATTTAAATAATAAAAAATAATTTCAATATAAAAGATTTTTCACCATTATTAAGTTAAATGAAAAATTAGTAAGTAATTTTAAAAAAATTATTTATCTTTGAATTAGTTTTGGATAAACGAGTTTTTTTTTTGTAATTGCTTGATTCTCTTTTAATATTAGGGGGGACTGGAAAGTAATGTCGTTTCGGTGCATTTGATATTTGTTATCAATATTTTATTTTTAATCAATAATGTATTCACTCTTGTTAGCACACTTATATTTTTGCAGATTTCGTCCCAAATTTTGAGGGTCAAAAATCTGTCAAAAAAAAGTTTATGTAGTTCAGAGAAAGTAAATTTTTGTATTTTATTTCGTAAGAATAAATTAATTATTACATTTAAAGCAAAATCTTCAAGTTAAGAAGTTTCTTTGCCTAAATTTAAGAAATTCCGTTTGTTCCGTTGCGTTCTGTTGAAATTATTTAAATATTCCGCTTTTTCACGCACTGTACACAATTTTAATCTGCTCTTTAACATGCCATAGTTTATTTAGCCATAAAAGTACTTTCAGTTTCTTTACCGTGCATTAGTACAGATTAGCATTGATTCTGTTAACAGCAATATTATAATTATACTCAAGAATATTATACTTTCTTCAATTTGTTTAATTCATGTTAATTTTCTTTATACCAAGTTCTTTATATCATGTAAATATTCTTCCAAGTCTTATTGTTAAAAATTAACAATTTGAATTAATGATAAATGATAAAAAAAATTGTAGTTATAAAATTACATAAAACGCGGAAACTTTAAATTATTGTTATAATAATTTCCTCAAAATTTTTAAATCACAATAATTAAATATTTTTGTAACTGATTTTGCTGTAAATTGAGTTAAAAATCTTTCTGGATAACTTTTAATCGTTTGTTTCGATTTTAACGGATAAGATCTAGTCTTAATGGTTTTAAAAGTAAGCATAAAGTATGCATGTGTCTCCTATCAAGTTTTGATATTGGACAAAAAAAAGTACTTTTTTAAATAAACATGCAATGCATTTTTTTTAACCGTATTTGAACACGAAGAAAAATCATTACCAAAACTTTGTGTTCCCAAAGAGCCAGAAACTTGGTAAGTTTTACCATATTCTGGTAATTTTGATCATACTTCTTTTATCAGTGTATGTTCCGTAATCTAAAAAATATGAATCCTATCCCATTGTATACCCAGAAAAGTGTTAAAAAGTGTTGAAAAGTGTTAATACCCAGAAAAGTGTTAACTTTTAATATTAGTAATGTGTTTTACATTTTTCGTTTCGAACAAATTTATTGTATAGTTTTACTATTAAGTTTGCTTATTCAAGTACTTGAATGACTCACAAAGGACATTTTTTAAACAATGCTTCTTTTATTATTTAATTTAATAGCAATTAAAAAAATTTAAAATATAAGGAATGCGATTTTTTAACCAACAATATTTCTAATGACATTTATTAAAATTTGAACGATTTCTGCTGAAGAGTTACTGAGAAACAAAATTTACGTAAAGTCGTAATTTTTAAAAATTTATTGCTTAAAAATTCCAAAATCATTTTTTTTCCAACTTTTGATTTTTTCCAAAAGTAAAAATATTTTAGATGATGTCTTTGCATAGCTTAGAATTAAAAAAATTGTTTATTTATCAATAATAATAATTAATTAAATAAGAATAATCGCTGAAAATAATTTTTTGCATCAAATTTTATTGAAAAAAAATAAGTGTAATAAAAAAGAAACCTTTTTGTTCTTGAAATTAATTACAAAATGCTAAAAAATACTAATTGCAATCAAACTGCTCTCTTATTAATAAAACCATTTTCTCAAAATGGCCTGCATTTTTCGGGGGGTCAAAAATCAGCAGCAAAAACACGTTTATTTAGAAAAAATATGTTTTTTCATCCAATTTCTTGGTTGAGATTTAAAATTTAGCATAGTTAAAATTTACCCTTTATGTTTGAATCTCATTACATTAAAATGAGATCATTAAATAAAATGTTACTTGGAATTATGTCTTTCTTCATAGTCCAAATGGATTTTTTTCTTTTTTAGATTTCTTTTAAAATTAATTTTTAATCATTATGGTGACTCCTTTTCTTGATTTTTCGATATAATTTATCAAAATTTCCTTATTTTTCTGATTGATGATATGAATTTTAATGAATAAACAGTTTTATACTTTCATAAAAAAAATTTTATCATTAAGTTTAAAAAAAATACAATAGAATACAACAATAATAATAATGTTAATAAAATTTAGCAATACAATTGAAATTTATTAACAATACTTTTAAAAAATTAAAAGCAAAATATCAGTAACATTTTATAATTTTTTAATAATTAGTTTTTTTTTCAATTTTTACTTCTTACTCGTGTAATGCGCATGAAGGGAAGAAAAAAATGATCACCCTGAATAACTTTTGATCTAATGATCGGATCTTCACGTTCTAGGACTCATTCTTAATGATTCGAAGGGACGACCTCAAATATGCTACATAATTAGTTAAGGTACAAAATCAGACACAAAAACGTATTATCTCTGAAAAAGCAAACTTTTTTTTTCTGACAGATTTTGATTTCTGATCTTAAAAATATTAGGCCGCAACCTGGGAAATATGGACCCAATAGTTTGGTCAGGAAAGCTGTCTAAATTTTAAGTTTGGACCCCTTAACGTTAATTTTATTTTTTGGGCATTTCGTGAGAAATTACTTTTTTGTGTCTAATTAATTTGAAACATCGTCTGCACTAATTAATTAGAGTATTTGAGGTCACCCCATCGAA